AATCAGCTGACCTTTTAGTCCATTTATTCACGATTGCAGTGAAAATCACAAGCATGAAATGGAAGTTTATATTCTGTTGTGGTATTAGTCAGTTGCAGTATTCACAATATATGATTTCTAATTTTACAAGCACATGGAATTCACTGCCACGGGAGGTGGCAGCGGCTACAAGCATGGACGGCTTCAAGAGGGAATTAGATAAACATATGGAGCAGAGATCCATCAGTGGCTATTAGCCACAAGGTATAGATAAGGAGCTGCGGTGGCTCAAGTGGTTAAGATGCTGAACTGCAGGCTGTGGAAAGTCAGTAGTTCAACAGTTTGAGACCCGAGCTGCCACATGATGGAGTGAGCTCCTGTCTCTAGTTCCAGCTCCTGCCAACCTAGCAGTTCGAAAGCAAGAAATTGCAAGTAGATAAATAGGTACCACTTCGGTGGGAAGGTAACAGCGTTCGGTGCACCTTGGTGTTTAGTCATGCCGGCCACATGACCACGGAAATGTCTTCGGACAGCGCTGGCTCTTCGGCTTTGAAATGGAGATGAGCACCGCAACCCTAGAGTCGGATTCGACTGGCTTTCGAGCAAGGGAACCTTTACCTTTAGTTTTTTATAGATAGATACCTTTTTATAGATAGATACCTTTACCTTTTTATAGATGGGGGAAGTCATGCTCTGTATTCTTGGTGCTGGGGGGGGGCAACAGTGGGAAAGCTTCTAGTGTCCTGGCCCCACTGATGGACTTCCTGATCTCACCTGATATTTTTGGCCACTATGTGACAGTGTTGGACTGAATGGGCCACTGGCCTGATCCAACATTGGCTTCTCTTATGTTCTTAATATTTGTATTTAAAAGAACTATCGTTAGATTTGTATTACCAACCCCTTTTCCAAATGTTCAGATAATTTACTATAGATATTTGCAGTATGGATTCTATAAAGCCTCCTAAGATATTTACAGTGGGCACATCTACAACAAATTACGGTATATCTCTTGTAGCTGTTGTCTGCTAAACAGCTCATGCCACATAAATCCATGGTTTTGAAGGAGGATGTATCCCATCCATAAATAACTTCTCAAGTCTGTACACAGGTGTTTGTGATTGTATCCTATGCACATCTTCCACTTCGCCTTGTTAGGCCACATCACAAGCAACTACTACTGTGGTCTTAGTGAAGGCAAATCATGATAGGGCTCATACTGTGAACCCATAAAAACAGTACCGTCACCCTAAATTTGCCTACTGCTTGTTTGTATACTTATGATCCATATTTTGCTTTCGGTATGCTAACAATTTTGAAATTTTGAAACAAACATCGACAGCCTATTTACACACAATAAAATTTATTAACATCAAATTAAAAACCACTATCCACATTCTGCACAACTTATTTGCAGAGTTGATCATTTGGTAGCTCCTTAAGGCATTTTTTTTTTTACAAAGAACCAAACCCAAGTAAAAGCCCATGTACCCTTATCTGGGAGCAAACACCACTGAATTCAATGGGACATTCTTCCAAGTAGAAACGTATTGAATCAAGTTGCAAAACTGTGATTCCATGTGCACTTACATGCGAAAAAGTCCTATTGAACAAAATGGAACTCTCATAGGACTAGTCTATACAATTATGTCTATGCTATTTATAATGGGATATGCCAGAGTTATGTGGGCAAGGCTTTTAGTTAAGGAGGAGGAGGACGATGAGGAGGAGGACGAGGAAATTGGATTTATACCCTGCCCTTCACTCAGAGTGGCTTACAAACTCCTTTCCCTTCCCCTCCCCACAGCAGACACACTGCGAGGTAGGTGGGGCTGAGAGAGCTCTGAGAGAACTGCTCTTTCAAGAACAGCTCTGACAGAACCAGGGGTCATTTCCTGCAGGAGCGCACAGGAGCGGAGCTCCGGCAGTAAGGAGCTCAGGGGGCGGGCACATGCAACAAGCCCCACCTCCTGCTCCCAGCAGCCCTCAGTCGGGCCATGAGGAGCAAGAAGCAGCCAGGTAAGTTGCAGAGCCGCCCCCCCGCCCTGCCTTCAGGTACAAGCTCTCCCTCCTCTGTGAGGACAGATCTGCACATTCCCCCCCCTCCCCCATAGCTAGCAATCCAAAACAGTCCAGTGGAGCCTGAGTGGTGGTTGTTGCCTTCTGACACACTTCCAGTGATGTCAGGGATGTGTGGCATATGCAAATAAGTTATGCTAATAAGTTATGCTAATGAGCTCCTGCACCTCTTTTTTTCAAAATGACCCCTGGACAAAACTATGGCTTGCCCAAGGTCATCCAGCAGCTGCAAGTAGAGGAGTGGGGAATCAAACCCGGTTCTCCCAGATTAGAGTCCGCACACTTAACCACTACACCAAACTGGCTGTCTTATTAAGCTTTTCTGCCATTCCTGATAAGCAATTTTATATTGAAAACCTCCCGCTTCCCTCCTTGGCAGCTCTTCAGTGAACGGATAGGACTGCAATATTTCATCAATTCACTGAGTAGATTAATTGATTAAAACCCTTTTGGTTAATGAAAAAAATGCTGTATTAGGCAGATTTTTACAAAATATTAATTTACAATATTTGTGAAAATTGTAGGTGTAGGATGCCATCTCTGAAAAGACATTCTCCTTTCTGAAGTGGGGGGGGGGATCTGAAGCAAGAGAGGTAAACCTACTAAAACAAGGTGTAAACATAAAGTATCAACCAAATTAATCCACCTTGAACCTTCGGGAAAGGGTGCAATAGAAATCTAATAAATAAATAAAATAAATACACAGAAGTAAAAAACTACAGTCAGTGTAGTTTTTATATTGCATTTGGAAATTTAAGAAATACGATGGAGATGGGGGTGGACCTCAAGGAGGGGGGAACTACCTATTGTATAAATTTTTATGTGTTACCTAACACTAACCTTGTTTGTCACTATGTCAAGTACTGTCCATCCACAGAACGTGCCAGATCTGCATTTTAGGATGGGTATTATTTTATTCTGTACTGACATTTTTGTCATTCGTTTGTCCCTGCTGCTTTGGGTCCCCCTCACATGTGTTTTGCTCCCTCTGGGACTACTAGAGAGAGCAAAACACTTGGGGGGGGGGACCCTAAAGCAATATGGACAAACGAGTGACAAAAATGTCAGTGCAGAATTGGTCTGAGAAAATAGTCAACAGAAAGGAGGGATGAAAAGGGATGATTTACAGTTCTTTCACGTGATGATAGTGGGTGAATGGCACCCCCATTTAAGTCATGTAGAAGGCAAAGGTGCTGAGGAGTTATAACGCCATGCAAACTGTTCTTCGTAATCTTCTTGGAGCGCTTGTCATAATGACGGAATACTCGAGGGGCGGGGGCGAAGTTAGTCAAACTTTATTGGTACCGAAACACTTCAGTTCAACCGCCGGGCTTAAGCTCGCCCGACTAAACACAGGCACTGGCCATCCCCCGCGCTATTGCCCTCCGCTTGTCTTCTCTGCCTGCCGCCGCCGCTCCCTCCCTTCCTTAGCAACCTTTCCAGGTAAACTCCGCGGCTGTGCAGGCAGGCAGCTACATGTCCGGAGCCACGGAAGAGTTGGCTGCGCCCGGGAGTGATGCAACTGCCGTGTCAATAGCACAAGCCGAGCTCGGTGCAGCACGTGCGTGACCTTTATATTTAAATTCTCCCGTTTCACAATGAGAGCAATAAAGGCACTCGGGGCAGTGTATTCCCAAGTAATTACTGGGGCCTGGCACTCGCACAGCTCTTCGCGGAGGCGGCCAGCGCGCCGCCACCACGAGAGCCCAGGGGCGGCTTTTTTCGAACCCCTGAATTAATCAGCGCCGATGGGGCAACTTTGGAGAGGGAGGGGGAACAAACAAGAACAGCCCCCTCCCAGGGGCGGCGGCGGCTCAGGGTGACACGCGAGGCCCCCCCCCCAGTGGGCTGTCCCTCACACGCTCTCTCTCTCTGTGTGTGCGCGTTGACGAGGCAAAGGGGGTGTTTTGTTATCAGGACTAAAGGGGGTGGTGGGAGGTTTTTGAGTGATCTGTTTATGTTCCAGGGCGAGGTGTCTGGAAAGGGTTTCTGTGTCCTGGA